AGCTCCTCGGTACGACTGGCCGTGGGATCTGAACGCGGGGCTCCTCCCCCGAAACGAGCTCGCCCCGAACTAATTGCAACCGTGACGAAAACGTGTTTGCGCGAGGAGTTGTGCAAATTGAACATTGCCGGACTTTTATCACGCGATAACGCCTGCTGTCTCCCCGTAAAATGTTGTTCGTAAATATCGTCCGGTTTCCAGGGATAAATTTTCACCAGCATGGGGGCGCAACGACCATCCGAATTCGTGTTTTTATCAACGGACTGATCTCAGCTGGGCTCGACTCTGCACCAACCATAGTTATGCAGGGATTAATTAAAATATAATTGGTATAAATAGCGATGAACGTACGATTACGTTGTCCAAAGTTCTGACCCGAAAATTCACTGATATTCGTCGGGAAATATCCAAATATCGAACTTCTCGCGATTGTTCGATCGATTATAAGAATCTCAATTAATTATCGAACGTTATGCGCAAACAGTTTAATGGAATCATTTATACTAGGTTTGCGATTAAACGGCTATAACTTTGGAACAAGGACAAATGGGGCGCATATTTATACGAACTTTCCTCATTGATTTTGCGTCCCTGATTCGCCAACGGAAGTGGGTCTCGTACGTTGCGGTGTACCCTGTACGTTTTCGCGTTCGGGGAACTATTCGACACTCGTTTTGCCAATTAGAGAGCCACTCGACGGATCAGAGATACGATCGAATATAAAAATTTCAAAGAAATTCAAATTATAGTAAAATTCTGTCGAGAGAAACTACTTAAACGTGGGCGAAGCTAGTCCTTGGATAGAACGCGCCGACAAAAGGATCCGCTCGTCTCGGTGCAGCACGCGAATCGCCAAACAGCCGAGATAATTATAAGTAGAAACTCGTGTAGTTTCCAGGGATATCTATCCGGAGACATCGCGAAGTTCTGTTACGTGACAGCGCCGGGAACTGTCTGGTTTCCATCAGCCTTGGAAATATTGACCGAGTTCCTTGCACTTTCCACGTTGAAAACGAGGCGATACCGTGTGTGCAACGTGTCGTGCGACGCGATGATTACGAAACTCTTGATAACGACGGGATTAGCGCGCGGCGGCGAGAAATCCGCTGCAACTTGCCGCGAGTTGCCAACATCCGTGCGACTGTGTGTTTGTACGCGCGTGTGTGATTCACTGCCGGTGTCTCAATATCTCAATTTCCGAACCGTGCGGCTAGAAACAGATATTCACGAGTTCCCCACGGAACTGCTCGGCAAATATGAGCCAGGAGACCGTCGATACGCGAGATCGTGTCTTGGCCAGCGAAACGGGGTTCGCTAAATCACGACCCCGAAACCGATAGCGCCGACTGATCCCCTAAATCGATCCAATTATCGACGAACGCGTGATCTGGTATTTCGTCGTAGCTATTACGCTCTCGGTCGATCAGTTATTTAATACGCCAGGTTCAGTTTATTTATTTTTTTAACAAAGCTACGCTGAGAAACAAGTCGATAACGTAGAATAACGTTTCTTCGTTCGAGGATTAGTTTTCGAGATAATTTAATTAGAAAAGTCGGATGCACTTACGATCGAACACGAGGCCTCTTTTAACTTATTTTTTAATTAAATAAATAAAATTCTAAAAAAAAACGAAGGGAACTCTTGACGTTTGAGAGTTGGATAAATTTTCGTACCGCCGCGTAAATATAGCGTTAATGCTTGCCTCCGCCCGTCCCGCTAATGCGTACAAATTGCCTCGGTCGCGAACCGGCGCGAAAATCTTGGAGATAACGAGCCATCCGTTGCGAAATCCGCCCCCGCGTCGCTGTTCTGGGAAACCCTGTAAAGTCGGACGTTTACGGCGTCGATCGTCCAACCTATCGCCTTGACGTGACCTCGTCGTGTGCTTCCGGTTCGCGGGACGCACGCGAGCGCGAATTAATTCCCACGATGCTTTCGCTCCGCGACCCGATACATCATTATCGTGATAAACGATGGACCATCCGAACCGCGACGCGGATTCTAACGAACCGGTCGTCGGCGAAAGGCGCGAACGACGGTGGTCGTACGAGCGTGCAGCGCGTCTCGGGTGTCGAAGCAGTAATTTTCATCGAGAGAGGCGGCATTTTTGCACCGAGTTTCCGCGATCGTTGCCGGTTGTTCGCTTGTTTGACTGGCAGGCGAGTCGTCTTCGATCCGAGAGCCGGGTCACGATGCAGCGACAGAGGTTCCCGTCGATTCATTCCACTTTCTACGGGGTTCGTCGATCGAAACGAACCCGGGGAGATCGTTTCTCGTGATCTAGGGAGTGGCCCGGATGAAACCTGTCGGTTTAGAAACAATAAACGTATCCACCTCCCGCGAGGTCTGACAGCCACGGTGGAGATGCCCGTGCGTCGTTGACGAGCGAGTTTCTAATTTATGAAGGGAGAAACGTATGTATGTACGTTCAGTGTCGGGAGTTTTATCGTCGAAGGTTACAGGAAACGGTCTTCAATAAGCTCGCAGACGCGAATTACGAATTAATTCGTTGCTACTTAACGTTCCGTTGATGCGTTTTCACTCTAATGTAAATAAATTCCCGCTCGACGCCGCAATCGTAGTATTAAACGGTTTAAACGAAGACTTGCGTTAGTTCGGATCATTTTGCTAATTAGAATAACCAGGGTCGTTAATAACCAGCGATGCTGTTTCTAATTCCAGCCAAAATTACTGTCACTCGACCGACTGGTTGAATTAATAACGTACTTTACTTGACGCATAACTAGCCCGTGGCTGAATATAGATCCGTACATGTCAATTTCGGTACGTAGAAATGTATGCCCCTGTGATTCGCCGATGTGGTAAAGGCTAATCGAACTGTAAACTAAATAAATCAAACTGGATCGAACCGAACTGAATTGAAATTGAGATTGCTTTCGCGTGCGCATGAAAGTCATAGCCTTTGTCGGTGAACAAGGGGGAGGATCGTGTCTTTTTGTATATAAGAAAATTTAAAAACTACACGGTTCCTTGAATATTTATCATAGCGAACGATGCATCGTACGAATCGACAAAATGTCAGTCATGGATTTTCATCCGCATGGGCCACCGTTCCTCGAAACGTTTCAGACCATATAAACGACTCCATCTGCACAGTTATTTCCGGTTCGCAATGTTCCCTCGAAACCCTTCGATTTTCATCAGAAATCTTTTTTTTTGAGAATGACACGCGAAATGTCAGAGAAAAGAACGTTCCTCGCCCCCATGAATCGACGAGCAAAGTTTCCAACCTTGATTTATTTTACGGATTGGCGAACGTTTTTGATCTCGCGATCGTAGATCATCACCTCGTAGATCATTGTCTCGCGTAATATATCGACATCACCGAAGGGCGATTATCGATGAGCGGGCGTGTAAATCACGTCCGAAGACCTTCGGCCTTGTAATTTATTACACCGTTCCATTACCTGGTCACGATGACAAGTCTTGCCCTAGAATAATTTATTGCGAGATTTAATCGTTTGCCGGCATCAGATTTTTTCCCCCCTTCTTTAATGTGAAAGTCACTGTTCGCCCGTGTCAAAGGTCCCGGCGTAAGCGTGAATAACTCAGGAGCCCGCAAACCTAATCCAGCCATTTCCCTGTCAAGATCTGTTTGCTTTCGATCTAGACATTCTTCCTGTGGGGCGAATTTTCAGTCCGCCTACGTAGCTGCCTACAACGATATCTGTTTCAATGAACTTACTCGAGCTCTATTCATTCGGAACTCCAATTTAAATTCCGTTTCAATTAAATAAACAATTTATAAGCCAGTTATATCACACGCCAGTCGTAGAATCAATCGGAATTGCTATAACTCCCTTTATACAAATTTAAAGTCATTTTCGATTAAATAAACAATTTATAAACCTGTTTCATCGCAAATCAATTCTTTGGGCACATAGTGTCAAAGTAAATTGCAAAATAAACATAGAAGATAGCAAAGATTGTAGTAGGTGATATGGTCATCGGATAGGGAATGAAATGCCCTTTAAAATGAGTGGTCGAACGAGGCGATAGCATTATTAGTTCCGGAGATATGAGGATTTTAGTTTCAAGTCGATGCGGTGGCTAGTTTCGGAGATACGAGGGTCCGAAGCGTTTGTTTACGTTCATTCAGCTCAATGGACGTGCGCGCGCGAAAATAGTAAACAGTGCGTAGTAAATTCTTGGAAATACTACGCGAAACTAGGTCACGAGAGTCACGACTCACGTGCGACAAAGAGGTCCAGCGCGACGCGTCAGACGGAGACAGACATAGTCAAATTAAGAAAAATACCCCTTTACATAAATTACGATATCTCGAAAACGGAAAGTCCGATCGACAAAAACCAAAAACCATTTTAAAGGTGAAGCCTTACCGCTTCTAACAATACCTCAATAATTAATCAAACACTAGTAGTTTCGGAACTGCACGCATCTAAAGTTTTTAGTATTTTTAATAGGCTTTCGTAAGGCGGAGAGCCAGACGTAGCGGAATTTTAAAAATTACGATTGTCTTTACACGATGATATCTCGGAAACGGAAAGTCCGATCGACAAAAACAAAAAACCATTTTAAAGGGGAAGCCTTACCGCTTCTAACAATGCCTCAATAATTAATAAAACACTAGTAGTTTTGGAACTGCACGCGTCCAAAGTTTAACTATTTTTAATACGCGTTATTAGACTGTTCTAAGGCAGTGGAACGTTTCCTACATATTTCCTATTTACATCTGAAGCTAACCAGAAGTTGATACTACATTTTGTCCGATTTTTAACAAAAAAATAGAAATCGTTAGGTTTAGTGTTAACTTTTTTACTGTCGCCATTTAACGTTGATAATTTGCATTGTCAATTGAAATTTATTCAAAAACAATGTATCCTGATACTTTTGATCGAGAGTATACTAGTTCCAGTAGTACAATCAACGACAGATCAAGCCGTTTGCGAATAAACACTTTACGTACGAAAGAGAGAAAGTAAACGTTGTAACGACCGATTTTCAAATTTGGTTTCAGCAATAATAAAGGAGGTTCCTGGCAACGCGGGCAAAATTCCCAAAGGTCGAGCCCCAGCCCCAGTCGACGCCACCACACGCAGGAAGCAGCCGCGCCTCACACAGCTCCTGTTTCCGTAAGTATTTCAGTCCCCCTCCGGAAATACGACTCCTTCTTTTATTTATGCTCTCGATTACGCCGCGCATACGTGAAATAATAATCGGTTTGTCGATTGACTCCGTGAGAATGGGGTGTGGTGTCGAGGAAACAAGTTAGTAACTCGGGTCACTTCCACATTCCTGTTCCTTGCATCGAATACTATACTTCAACGAGGGCTTTGAGCAGTTTCCGAACCAAGGGTGACTAGAAACAGTTAATTTTTAATGTAAAATTTTAAAGAATATTATAAAATTAACTTCTTTATTATTTAGTGATCTTTTAACGAATATAAAACCATTTGATAATAATTTTACCAGGAAACATTCGCCCAACTTTTCTTATCAGAGTTTATTAATCGATCCTAACATTTTTATTTGCTATTTAAACGAGCAAATCAATTGTCAAGGATAGAAGGAAGAACGCTCCTCCCTGTTTCCGCCTAATAAAAGTTTCGGTGGTCGATTCGCCCGGCAGGCTTTCCGAACTTTCTTTCCCAGGGGAAGTTCCGAGCTGCACTCTCGAACTTTTTAGCCGTCTTATAATATAGCGTCCCGACGCGGTCGATAAAGCGTCCCTAAGTGTTGGCCGATTCCGTCGAAATTATCACCGATTTTCCAACCGACGAGAAACACAAGTCCCTTCTATAAACAAGCTTTCATGTACCAGTGCTTAAAATTTTTAAATTTAATTCCCACCGAATTATGTCGCGAATAATTCGCTGCGAGAGAAATTATTGCCGAGATATACACGTATTTCAAGTCGGGGAAATAGGTGGGCAGGAATTTAGCGATGCTGTACAGCTGATATTTTAAGCTGGCCTACTTTAGGGATATGTCCTAAATTTCATCGCCATCCCTCCAGCCATTTTCCCGCGAAGCGGTAGCAATCATCCAGAAACGAGTTTCATTTACAATTGTTTAGTATTTGCTTTGAGAGACGCGTGATATTTTTTCTCAAATCTCCAATCTACAAGTAGTTTCTAGGGACGCGTGTTTACACGAACATTTTTAATCGTTTCCGTGCCCTCGATCGATCGATTAAAGCGGATCCGCGATCTCTGTGGCGCACCAACAGCTTCATCAAAAATTCCTAAATCGGAGAAACACCGGGGACCGTTCGTATAACGATCCCAATTAATATCACGACCAACGTGATGAATTGCCGCGAGGAGCTGTTCTGTTTGCGGTGCGCGCGCGCGCGACCATTGCAGATAAATCCGCAAACTTGCAACAATGCGACAGTTAGTCGGATAAAACAACATTCCCAGGATTAATTAAGCTGACCCCGAGCGACGCCGCCAGACCTCAGTTACCAAGTTTGTCCAAGAAACTCGGAAGAGACGCGATTCCAACGTCACTTCTCTCCTGCTTCGTCCCCTGTTTCTTCTGAAAGCGTTTGCCGAGGGTTCTCGGAAATACGAGCACATTAATAAAGTGCATTTTAACGCCATTTCTCCGCAACGAGTTTCTGGAACGGAAAACTTCGATGCCATTTCCATTATTTTCCACGAATTCGATATTTTATTATACAGGGTGTTCAGCCACCCCTGGGGAAAGCTTTAATGGGAGATTCTAGAGGCCCAAATAAGACGACAATCAAGAATATCAATTTCAATATCATTATCAAAAAAAGTTATTAAAAAATTAAATTCAAAAATTTCAAATCATTCTGAAAAAAAATATTTTTAGTTGCAGGGGTCTGTTACAATCATTTTTGGTCAAGAGACATACCCCCGAAATCCTACCCCTTTTCGAGAAAAAAATTCGAGTAGGTATGACATTTTTCGACAAAATTAAAAAATTTCAAATCATTCTAAAAAAATTATTTTCAGTTACAGGGCTCAATTACAATCATTTTTGGTCAATAGATATACCCCCGAATTCCTACGTACTTTCGAGAAAAAAATTCCTCACCGAAAATATAATTTCTGGCCAGAAATAGTACCCCGAAATGTCATGCGAATCTTTAAAACGCCATAACTCCTGAACGGATTGGACGATTTTCATTTTTAAAAATGCAATCGACGCGTATTTTAGTGTAGAATATGTAGAAATTCCAAAAATATTCGGAAAGTTGCTTCTTCAACCCGTAAAATGAGAAAACCCCCATAAAAATGATTCAATTTTCACACGTCCATAATTCCTACAATAGCGAATATATTTCAATGAAATTTTTTTCTGAGCTAGAGCTCATATGTACCTACAAAAACGTATTAGACAAAATTTCTGTACAGCCTCAAACAAACTTATTAAAAATCAAAAACGAATTTTTAAGAAAAATCGACAGGGGGTAGGTGCCTAAATTATTCGATGAAAAAAAAAAATTTGATATCGTTTTAAAAAAATTATTTTTGATTGCAGGGGTAAATTACAAACATTTTTTGTGAATAGACATACCCCCGGAATCCTATCCATTTTCTAGAAAAAAATTCGAGAAGGTGTGAAAATTTTCGACAAAATTAAAAAATTTTAAATCGTTCTGGAAAAATTATTTTCGTTTGCAGGGGTCAATTACAATCATTTTTGGTGAATAGACATACCCTCGAAATCCTACCCACTTTCGAGAAAAAAATTCGAGAAGGTGCCTAAATTTTTCGATGAAAAAAAAAAATTTGATATCGTTTTAAAAAAATTATTTTCGATTGCGGGGGTCAATTCCAATCATTTTTGGTGAATATACATTCCCCCAAAATCCTACGCATTTTCGAGAAAAAAATTCAGTACGGACGGAACTTTAAACGTTAATAACTTTTTAACGAAGCCTCCATCAACAAATTGGTATTCTTGATTTTCGTCTTATTTTGGCCTCTAAAATCTCCCATTAAAATTTTCCCCAGGAATGGCCGAACAATTTTTCTATCAATAGTACAAGGTTATTCCTTCTTCGTTCGCTTAGCATCTGATGTTAAATACAGTTTGAATTAGTATTGTTTATCGAGAAAAGACCAAGACTAATTGATCAACACCTTTCTATCGAGGTACAGTACAATAGAGGAGGTCGTTGTGTGGACACCGTGCTTGTGAACAATGACGTTTACGTTGATTAATTGCTCGGTGTACAATGACATTTCTTCATTAGACGCGTTTATTGCGATACGACGTTTCGACCATTGTAGCCCTCGTCGGGCAAGTTCTTATATCAATATACGTTATATCTAAACGAAAATACATGTGCATAAAAATGACTCCTGATAATAGAAAAGCAATCGTTCCAAAAACCGAGGTCGCAGTTTGTCCTTTCGTAGATTACAGGTGACAGCTATTGACGCATAACTAAAAGTCTTTCGATGTACGTCTTATCTTAGAAGGTGAAGGCCACCGGACACGTGACTCCTCGTTGCGCAAAAATTAACTGTTTACTCGTTCGTTTTAATATTAGTCAAATTCGACGCACGGTGGTTTCAGTTGATAGCTTAAAATGGTCGCGATCGTTTGTCTCGCCGAACTGTTCGAGAACTTTGCCAGCTTGTTAAAGATATGGATAGTTGCATACTTGAAAATAATTTCTCAGTAACGAATAACTGAAATATCAGTGAATATTGTTCGGAATGAATCACACGATGCAGCGACGATGGAAGACAAGAAAATTGCTCATCGAAAAGGTGACTCAATTAACTGCGACGTTAGAAAAGCGAGAAACTTGGAACAATGAAGAATTTCCAGTGTACGCTCGTTTATGAAAAGTGAAATCGTTTAAGAACAGATTTTTTTTATTTTGTGTAACGTTTGCATATTCCAAGCGCGAATTGATAAGATGAGCATTGTTTTCAAGGTACGTGGATTTTTTAAATCGCGACAGATTCGGTTGATAGAACCAAGAAATTGATTTGTTATGCTGGTAATATTAATGATGTACTGGGAGTAAGACAAACGATCATCGAGGGGTCACTCCCGGGGTCACAGGTCGCTATTGATGGCTGTATATTATCGAGCATATAAGGGTACATCATTATCGGATGATTACGAGACAACACCTCATCGCATGACACTTGGAAATATTAAGATCGAGTCTTTTGTATTCGCAATCACGCAGAAGCTTATCGAGATCTGGTTGTTGTTAACCAATGCAACAAAAACGATAAATAATATTTTATTTTGTTTTAACAACCTCTTATCGAACTCTAAAATAATAGTCAATGAGCTTCCAAAATCAAAATTAACGAATACCAGACTCTCCGGGGTCTATTTTGATCCGAATCTAAATTGTATTACTTCTCATTACACTAAAAGACTTTCTTGTAATTACTTTTATTTATACAGTTCGTTATACGTTAGCAAAGCTATCAGAGACTTGAATTACACTTTGAATGAGCCGAATACTTGAATTATCAGAGTATTCAAGCCCCACGAGCCTTCATCGAACGGTTGATCAAGGCATCGAGGTACGTCGTCGAATTACTTTTCGCAATTCGAGGTGGCGAAATATTCGAGGGTGCGCGAGGGGGGGTGGCTGCAGACATCGCAAGCTCGTTTCTCGACGCTCCTGCGGGAAGTCACGTCGCGGGTACGATAACGTATCTAAGATTTGCATCGCCATAGGGAATTCCACGATCTCACGGCACGAACCCGGAATGCGCCGTCGTTCGCGTCGATGCGCCTCGAAAGGCACGGATCGTGAATACTCCGGATCTCGATCTCGATCCACGCGTGTCCCCGCAGACCCCGGCGAACCCGGACCGGAAACGTCCCTCCGCCCCCACCCGCGATTCTCCAATACGGAAACCGAATCCCGACCGTTCCAGCGTCGTTTCAGCTTTTCTTTCGCGCGAAAGAAACCTGGATGCGAATATAATGGCCCAATACGCGGTACAATGGGTACAGTTTCCACCGATTGGAGGATCAGCAAATTATTGGGGAGAAAAAAAATGAGAGGTCATAAAGGGAGGGGGCGGAAGTCGATAAATTACGGTGTCTTCGATTTTTTTTTTAGCGACAGATGAAGCATAAAGGCTTCGATTCCTTACGAAAAAGTGATGTA